GTCCTCACTGTCATATTCCTCACAAAATGATATTATTCATGTCTCCAGTACTTCTAGTGAATTCTTTCTCTGATATATTATATTACATAGGGTTATTAGATAATAAGGGTAATACAAATTCTTTATTATGCAGTGCAAGTCACACATATTAGCCACTAGAAAAAAAGGGTGCCCATAGCTTTTTTTTTTTTTTTTTTTTAATAACAAGTAATGAAAACGAATGGTTGTGTTATTTATGATTCGTTGTCTTCCCTGTTTGAATTATTGTAATAAATAGTGTTAACATATTGATCCTTCTGTAACAATGGAAAGTTCTAAATCTACAAGAAAAAATATAAGCAATTTTCAGCCTTTTAGGAACTTCACACTAAGAAATCGCAAAGGAGAGAACATGACAGTGCTTTAGATTTGACGGGAATATGAGCCTCTGCCGCTGGTTCTGCAAATCTTCGTCCGGTTCCACCTTGTCGTGCAGAGGTGGGACTCATGCTGTTCCCGTTGAACCTGATCCTATTGTTGTTATAACAAGCGTTTTTTTTTTTTTTCTTTCTTTCTTTCTTTGGCGATTGTTGTTGTCACTGGTGCAGTTATTGTCACTGGCGCTGTTGTTACAGGGACTACTTTTACTGAAAAGTTACGAAGATTGAGGGTAGCATTGGTTTAGTGCTTAAACAAGCTACAGTATGGTTTAAGGTTCGATAAAATCAATTTAGGCCAGACATGAATTGCTTCTAAATAGGAAACTTGGACCCTGTTCAGACGAGCGACTTTAGTGCCGCGTCTGCTAGAAGCGCGACTGCTAGGTCAATGGAAGTGAATAGGAGTGCACACTTGTGACTGGCCTGTGGTGCGACTCGAGATCTCCTTCAGTCGCAAGACTGCTCAGCCACTCGAGTTACATGTGTTGCTATGCGGCCGCACACACAAGGCGACAGCCACTGCGTTTTCATGGTGATGGCGCGCCTCATTGGCTGGAGTGGGTGGGATTAGACCAGTGAGAGAGCATCATTGTGGAGCGGAGGCAGACAGACAGGCGATAGTCACTTCTGCTTTCCCCAGCCTGTCATCCTGTATTTGTTAGAGCAGATTGTCAAATGATTTGATGGACATTCTCATGTAATTAAAGAACTTGGGATCATGTTCTTGTAACTTTGGATACAATGTGAAGAACATTCTATGGGTAAGTCTGTCATTTAAGATAGGATGAACCCAATAACGTCTATGTCTCCTCTTCCGCTACTTCAAACGACGATATAAAACCCATGCATATGCCACCTCTTCTAATCCATTAACAGCTGTGTATGATCAGCGACTGAAGATGGAAAAAAAAGTGGGGGAGAGACGACTAGGGCCACTGAAAGCGTGTGTGAACAATCACTCAATAATCGCGCTTCTAGCAGTCGGACCACTAAAATCGCTCGTCTGAACGGGCCTGGTCTTTTTTTCGTCGTTTTTCACCCATCTTGCAGAAATCGAGTTAAATGCATTTGCATTGATTTCATAGTCTCCAGTACTTCTAGTGAAAACTCTAGTATATTACTCATATATTTCATAGGGTTGTTAGATAATAAGGGCAACAAAAATCAATATTATGCAGTGCAAGTCACACATTAGCCACAAGACAAAAGGGTGCCCACAGTTTATTTTAGAAAAATAACACGTAAGTAATGAAAACGAAGGATTCGTTGTCTTCCTTGATTGAATTATTGCAATAAATAGTCAACATATTAATCCTTCAGTAACAATAGGTAATTTCGAGTTCAAAATTTACAAGAAAAAATGCAAGCAATTTTCAGCCTTTTAGGAATTTCACACTAAGAATTCGCAAAGAAGGGAACATGACAGTGCTTTAGATTTGACGGGAACATGAGCCTCTGTCGCTGGTTCTGCAAATCTTCGTCCGGTTCCGCCTTGTTGTGCAGAGGTGGGATTTATGTTGTTCATGCTGGTGTTGTTGTCACAGGCGCTGTTGTTGTCACTGGCGTTGTTGTTGTCACAGGCGTTGTCACAGGAACTGTTGTTGTTACTGAAAAGTTATGAAGATCGAGGGTAACTTTGGATTAGTCTGATTAAGCAGGCTGCAGTAAGGTTTAATGTCAAATAAAATCAATTGAGGCCAGACATGAATCCAAATTTACTATAATCGATAAATCTAAAATATTTGTCAACTCATGACATGAACAAAGGTTTTAAAGGAAAAAAAAAAAATCTTTGGCGAATGAAATCGTTGCCATGAATTTCAGTTTAAGCAACATCAACAATAATCCTTTAGTGTCATTCTATAAAACAAAGACAGTCGGGAAAATACCGGAAGCTTCTTACCAATCAAGGATGAAAGTATGGGAAACATGCAGATATGCTGTGTGTGATTTGTGTGTGCATTTTTTTTTATTTTTTTTGTTAATGTTATTGTTTGTTGATGGCGGTGGTGATAACTTTGTGTTTGCTTTTTCCGGTTTGAATGCCATCAACAGCAAATCATAAATAGCAAGAATATTCATCGGAACACCACCCACGCTTACCCATGTCGAGAGCGCAGCACCGGCAGCGAAGGCCCTTGCAACCCTCGTATATTTCCTTCTCGTAGCTCTTGCAACGGCCCTGTCTGCAGGAACCCTTGTTCTCCTTGCATTTAGTCTTCCTCTTGCAAACTGGGGGAAAATACAATTTCTATGGTTATTTATTGATTATTTATAATTATCTGTACATGTAAGATATCGAACGAAACAAATATATATCGACAGAAAGATAATGTTATGCCTACAGCTCTAGTCACAGAATGATAATATCAGTAACTGGATAACTAGAAAAAAAAAAAAAAAATAATAAATAAATAAAATAATAATAAAAATAATAATCAAATGATAAATAAAAATTATAAACACAAGACAACAGTGATAATGATAAAAATGAGACAATTTATTATTGTCACTATATTCACCTCGACCAGGGGCGCAGCAGCGGCATTTCTTCCCTTGACAAGCGCGTTTTATTACCCTTTCGTTGTTTTTGCATTTTCCGTCGTGCAGTATCTGCCTTTCCACTTACATTGCTTCTTGGTTTGCATTCTAGGAAAGGAAAAAAAAAGTTGTCTATTTAAACATTAAATTCTTAAGAATTTTGATTCTAGGCTTCTCTTATTTTACATTTCAATCGTTTAAGTTCAGATACCTATGTTATTTTTATTTCTAGGGATCATTTATATGGAACTTATAGTGTATGTATATACATATGTGCTTATATATATGTATAATATATTATATGTATATATATACATATATGTATATTATATATAATATATATATATATATATATATATATATATATATTGTACCGAGTAATGACTCACCTTTCTTGTCTTTGGGAGCGCAGCAGTGCAGTGATCACCCTCGCATCCGTAAATCTCCTTCTCTCCGCTCCCACAGGACTCCTGAGCAGGATCCATTCCTCTTTTGCATCTCTGATTCGCCGTGCATTCTGAGGAGAGGAGAGAGCTTCACTTTCCACGTGAGAGGAGATCATTTCGGTCGACGCAATCTTTCCGACAATATCCGATTTTCACTTTTCCTAGCGCAGGGTTTCCAACCAATTTTATGTTATGGAGCCCCCTTAAAATTTATAGCTTGTTTAAAGATAAAGGAGGTGAATTTATATTAAATTTGATGAACAATAAAAAATATTCTTTTTCGTTTTCTAATTATATGATAACAAAAACATATTAAAAATATCACTTGCTTGAAATATGTACATGTAAAAATCAAAGAACTAAATTTAAAATGTTTCTATCAATGAATTTTCAATTCAGTGGATCTTTTCTTCCTGTTTCTTGATTATGAGTAATGAACAGATTAATTGCTTGTCTTCAAGGGGACACTTCTCGCATCCCTGGATGGGAAACCATGTCTAACATATCCTCACTAATTGAGCTATCTATTTTTCTATCTGTCTACCTAGATACATTTCTTTCCCTCTCTATCTATCTGTCATCCATTTTCACTTCTTGCAGAATAAGATGGGATTCTCTACCAAATAAAGAAAATAATTTTAAAAATCTAGTCCCATTAACTAGAGAGAGAGACTGAAAGACGACGGAGAGGAGTGAGTAAAAGAGAACCGACAGAGACAGAAATGCTGAAAGAAAAAGAGAGAGAGAAATAGACCAAGCAAATACCTACAGCCCCCCTTTCCCTCCCATCCTTCACTCTCAGACAGACAGAGAGAGAAATCGACCCAAAGCAAAACTACCTCCTATCACCCACCTCTTCCCCATATATTTGAGCCCTGAGTAGGCCCCCACCCCGAAAAAACAAAAAACAAAAAACATCATCTCCATCCACTGACGAAACCAAGGGCTGGCCATAGGCTAATATTAACAACTTTCGTTAGAAAGGTCTCGAGTCTTATGTGGCTTAAGCTATGTGGCCGTTCCAATAAGGGGTCCCTATAAGGGTCAAACGCGAAAACCCCTAAATACCATCTTAAATATCAATGTAACGTACAGGTTTATTTAGTGCTATGAAACCTTTCACAGAGTAAGTTACTAAATTAGACTGGGTGTGGTATGAAAATATATCAATACCCCTTATAGACCCTTAAGATCCTTATATTCACCCCTAAAACAAATGGCAAGGTTTACAGAGGTGATCCAGGGTTTATGGAAAGCTATAACAAAGTAAATGAGATATGAGATAATGATATGGTTTGAGTCTCGTAATACCCCGTATAGACCTTATATACCCCTTAAACACCTTTAACAACGGAATGGGTTAGGGAGATGATCGTGGGTGTTATAGATGGCTATGATGGGAATAGAGAATGATTGGGCATGGTTTCATTTTTTGTTTCCCTTTAAATATAGCGGGCGTTAGGTTACATGCATCACCTTTTCGGGGCAGCAACCTCTGAATTGCAATTTGAGCGTGAATAATATATAATATATATTATATATATATATATATATATATATATATATATATATCGTCCCCAAGTAATGGACTCACCTTTCTTGTCTTCAGGAGCGCAGCAGTGGCATCTTGCACCGTCGCAGCCTCCGTAAATCTCCATCTCTCCGCTCCCACAGGACCTCCTTGAGCAGGATCCATTCCTCCTTGTGCATCTCTGATTCGCCGTGCATTCTGAGGAGAGGAAGAGAGCTTCACTTTCCACGTGGGAGAGAGGATCATTCCGGTCGACGCAGTCCTTTCCGACAAGATCGATTTTCACTTTTCCTAACATATCGTCGCTGATTGTTATCTGTATTTATATATCTATCTTTCTATCTAGATATCTCTCTATCTATCTTCCATTTTTACTACTGACGCGATTCTCTTCCGAATAAATGAAAATAATGATAAAACAAAGAAAAAAATATAGCCACTTACTTTCATCACGTATGCAACATTTGCAATGGCTGCGACCACATCCACCGGGAAGCTCACGCTCTTGCCTCCTGCATCCTTTGCCAGTGCAGCGCCCATTGGCTCTCCTGCATTCAT